TTTGAAGGCAAGCTTGGATCCAGGAAGCAAACCAGGCAGTTGCTCTTTTCTCTCCATCTCCCGGCTCTGCCCTGCTCTGTTTAGTGTTCATCTTCAGATGGTCTGTCCGAATCTGTGGCAGAGAAGGCCACACAGCTGCAGGCCTGAATTCCTTACACCTGGAGATTCTACGTGAGAAAGGGAGCCTCTCTCCCTGCAGTTCCAGCAGTGGCCCAGAGGGGGCACTCACACTCTAGGTAAACCACAGGATCTAAGCCCAAGGGAGGTGCTGAGCAGTGAAATGCAAGCCTCCCCTGCAGCCAGGCGCGCACCTGCAGCACATCACTCTATCAACTAAATGCCTCGATTTCTATTTTGCACATCTCATTTTATTCGTTTGCTAGGGCTGCCACAACAGAATTTCTGCCAGCAGAGCTGGTTTCCTCTGAGGCCTATCTCCATGACTTGTGGATGGCTGCCCCTTTGCTGTCTCTTCACGTGGCCATCCCTCCCTGCATGGGCTCCCTGGCTGTCACTACGTGTCCAAATCTTCTTATGAAGACACCAGTCAGATTGGATCAGGCCCTATCCTAACAGCGTCATCTTAACTTAATCACCTCTTTAAAAGTCCTATGTCTAAGTAGAGTCACATTCAGAGGTACTGGAGGGTTACGGAATCAAAATATGAAATGGGAGGGAGAGGACACAGTTCAACTAGCAAATGGCAAGGCTGAGACTGCCCTGAGGGAGGATGCGTCTAACCAGGTGCCCTTCCCCATGACGCTGTACTGTCCCTGCTGGAATTCATGGCAGCATACCCGGAGGCAAAGGCTTTACAACCCTCAGCATCGGGGAAAATCAGAGGCTGTATCCACTGAAAACCTTAGCGAGGTCCAGGGATGCTCTGTCTATATGATGCTCCAGCAGGATACCACTGGTATATGAGAGTCTCGGCTGTCAGGCGAGCTGTGGTTCAGCAAGCCCTGTTTGTTGTCAAAGAATGTTGGGTTTTCTTCTCTCTCTGCAGCGTTTTCAGATTGTTTCTCTTGGGCGCCCCAAAGACCAGCTATCATGAGGGTGTTGAGGGAATACAAATCACCTTCTCTCCTCCGTTTTCCATCAGGTAGAACAGCGTTTCCCAAAGTGTGGAATTCAGACAATTGGTGAAAATGTGAGATGTGTTTAGATGTTACACAGACCAACATATTTGGAAAGTTATGAATTTCTGTGAATTTGTGAATTTGTGAATTTGTATTAAACATACAACCAGGATGGGTGCAGTGGCTTATGCCAGTAATCCCAGCACTTTGGGAGGATGAGGTGGGAGGATCATTTGAGGCCAGGAGTTCGAGACCAGTTTGGGCAACATAGTAAGACCGCCCCCCCTGCCATCTCTACAAAAAAATTAAAAAATAAAAATTTGCTGAACATGGTGGCGTGTGCCTGTGGTCCCATCTACTCAGGAGGCTGAGGCAGGAAAATCGCCTGAGTCTAGGAGTTCGAGGTTACAGTGAACTATGATCACACCATTGGACTCCAGTCTGGGCAACACAGCAAGACCCTGTCTCTTAAAAAACAAAACTAAACAAAACAAGCTAAACCAACCAAACAAGCAAAAAACCCCATATAAACAGTCCTACAAACCCGTACTTTTCACTGGCATTAAAATAGAAACATCAGATACATGTCAACTGAAAGAAAAATATCAAGTAAATAGTATTAAGAAAATAAATAATTTGATGAAATCGTGAGGGTGATGCTTGAATGACTGAAATCTGGGAAGAACTGGGATGAAAATTCTTCTGGCTATGGACATAGATGTCATGCCAATTTTAAGCCTCATTTATCTGACATTTAGCTCTAATTTTCCCTGAGGCTGACCATAGATGGTGACTTCTGGCCTTTGGTTTCTCTCGTCTGTGTCTCTGGGCCAATCATGTTGGACCAGGCCAAGTACAGAGGTGAAAGGCTTGTGAGTGGTGGGGAGAGGCCGACCCTCATCTGCACAGCCCCTGGACTCTATTCATTTGGAGTCTTGCTGCAGGGCTTCTGAGTGACTTGGCGCTGCCCATAGCTGAGTATGTAGGTAGGTGTTCATCACTGTGCAGTCAAGATTTTTAGCAACTCAAAGTCTGATGTGGAATAATATGTTTAAAACTTAATTCCACATGGAAGTGGCATAATTCTGTAAAGGTTAGTTGCTATTAATTTTAGTAGTGCTTTTGCCCCCTTGAATTTTGCTAACAGTGCTGAATAACAGCCTTCTAGTCCACGTTTGGCTCTGTGGCCAGCTGCAGCTGCTGACACCTTCCACAGCTGGCGCCCATGTCTATGAACTGGGTGCCCGGTGAGGATGAGGGGCTGCAGGCACAGGAGAGCTGGCTTCTGGTTCTGATCTGCTCACTCAGTCAGCCTGTATCATGGCTGCGAATTGCAACTATTGTATTATTAGCTTTAAGCTCTAACCTTCTGTGGTTTCTGTGGCCTCCAAAGTCATGTTCTGCTTTATTGATGTAAGGTTGATCTCCAGTGTCCAAAGGGGTTGCAGGTGTGGGGAAAGGCCCCCTTCTAGAATTTCAGACAGTCTGACTCAAAATGTTATGTCTGTTCATGAAAGGAAGATGGGTGAGAGCAACGCTTCTTACACTTCACCATGTGTGTGAATCACCTGGGGATCTTATGAAAATACAGATGCTGATTGGGCAGGTTGGGGTGGAGCCTGAGGTTCTGCATTTCACAGAAGTTCCTGGGTGATGCCAATGTTCCCGGTTAGAAACAACACTTTGAGTGGCAAGGCTTGGAACAATTCTTCCTACACCCAGCATGTCGACAAAGCACCCTCTACAAAGCCTGGATAGTTGAGGGGTGTCCTTTTAGACCCTGTACATGGCTGGCCCCTGCCTGCCCTCCCACTGCTTCTAATCTCACTCTCCCCTGCATTTGCTCCACTCCATCCTCATTGGTTCTTTTTGTTCCTCCAATAAGCCAAGCTCTTGCTCACACCAGGGCCTTTGCATCCACTGTCTCTATGCCAAGAATGCTACCAATCCCATTTTTCCCCAGGTACTTGGTTTTCATTCTTTGATTAGCATATGAAGTGAGTTCCTTTCTCATGATACCTATTTATTGTCTCTGTAGCATTTGTCTTCATGTGCCAGCTCTTTTTCTGTTGCCTTATTTATGATTCATTTCTCCTCTAGACCAGAGTCCATGAGGAAAGCCCGTTCCTGCCTTCCACACTGTTGTATCCTCAGTGCTCCTGCCTGGCAGGAGATACTTGCTCACGAATATTTGTTGGGTGCATGTGTGGGCGGGGAGCAAATGCATTCTTGAGTATCTTTTTGCACATTTGAGCCACCTGTCTGGAGGGGCCATGTTGGGGCTGAAAGTCAGCATTGGTTCTTATTGAAGAATAGCAGAATGAGAGCTCAGAAAAGGAGCTACTTTTAATTCTAAGCCACATCTCATCTTCAGAGATGTTGAAATGTGAAAAAAGTGTGCATCTTTGAACAGATAAAATACAGTAAGCTGGCCAGGCACGGCGGCTCACGCCTGTAATCCCAGCACTTTGGGAGGCCAAGGTGGGTGGATCATGAGGTCAGGAGATCGAGACCATCCTGGCTAACACAGTGAAACCCCGTCTCTACTAAAAAAAAAAAAATACAAAAAATTAGCCGGGCATGGTGGTGGGTGCCTGTAGTCCCAGATACTCGGGAGGCTGAGGCAGGAGAATGGTGTGAACCTGGGAGGCGGAGCTTGCAGTGAGCCGAGATCACGCTGCTGCACTCTAGCCTGGGCGACAGAGTGAGACTCCATCTCAAAAACAACAACAACAACAACAACAACAACAAAATAACAGTAAGCCTAGCATGTCTTAAACAGAGGTTATGTTAAATTCGTTTATAAAATATTGGATTAAACAAGGGTACTATGGTGGGACTTCTCAGGACTTTTGGCAATGTGCATTGTGAGTCTACAAGAGAAGGGATGTGATGTGCTCTTTCATGGCACAGTGGTTGTGGCAGAGGCGCTGTGATTTCCTCAACCACAGGCCATTCCTTTTCTGCCCTCCTCTCTTCTTCTTTGTTGGTAGAGAGCCTGGTTCCCCCTGTTGAGGCTGAAAATGCCAAATGCCCAGTTTCCCAGCCCTTACTGCAGCAGGGGCATGGACATATCCCTAGTTCTGGCCAGTGGGATCCGAGCAGAAGTCTACTGAGGACTTCGGAGAAGTTTTTCCGACTACAATAGATATGCAATAGACTTTCTTGTTTTTTGATATGATTGTGTGAGGACATGATGCCTGGAGCCACAGAAGCCTCTTATAAACATAGAGGACATGTGGCTGAGGGCAAGAACCAACATGCTGAGGATGGTGGGGCACAGAGATACAAACAACCTGGGCTCTGGACTCCATCCCTGAGCTGCTGAATGTACTAACTCTGCGCCTTGGATTTCTGGTTGTGCAAGACAACACGTGTTCTCACTGTTGAAGCCACTTGTAATAAGGTGCTCTCTTTACCTGCAGCTGGAAGGATTTTGCCTAATAAGAGTGGTAAGCCGGTCTCTCTGAGTCAGACAGGCTGGAATTCATTCCTGGCTCTACCATCGGTAATTGTGGTTCGCTTCAAAGCTATTTACTCATTTAGGAGATGGAGATATTAATAATGGCTACTTCTTGGGTTGTTTCAGAAGCTTAAATGAGATGATGGGTGTGAAGTGCTCGCATAGAACTTGGAACATTGCTGGTGCTTAGTAATAAGGAACTATTATTATTGTTTTTGATCACAGAACTTCTTTGTTGTTGGAACATCCTCTAGCATCTTGAGGGATCCTGCATTCTACAGAAAACAATCTGAGTGATGTTTACCTTTACCAAACGTTCTCATTTTACAGAAGAAGAAACTGAGGTCAAAGGAGTGGCTGCTGTTTTGGTGCTTTTATTTTGAAAAATGTGCAGGGGTCAGCCTCTTCCCATGTCAGTCATTTCCACTCCCACACAAGAAACAACAGAAGGACACAGGTTTAGGGTTGAAATGATGTGCTTTTATGGGAAACAAAAATATCCAACAACAATAACAAAAGCCCTTCAATCTCGCCAAGTTCTTAACCAGTGACAATGAGGCAGCTTCCATGATTGCTTCTGGCTGGGGACGATTCTAAAGGGTCAGGAAAGTGAAAAGACATTGGCCAAAAAGAGAAGTTGCAGGGAGGGCTGACATCCTACATGAGAACACAGCAGACTTCCCTGTGGCCCCTCACCCTATCACCCCTTCAACTTAGAATCTCCTCCCAATCTACAAAGATCCTTCCTGAATTTTCCTCAGATGCAATCTCTTTCAGAAAGCTTTCCTTGGTCTGCTCTAACTGCATATGACTTTTCATTAACATCACACACACTTTCTCATTCCTTCTCTGATCACTTTCTGCCTTACATCTGTTATGTTTGGGTACATGCCTTACGATACCCACTATTGGTAGGCATGTCCCTGAGACCAAGTCCCAGGTTGACTCACCCCTGTGCTCCCCTCCCCCTCCCCCATTCAGTGCTCAGTATTCAGCAGGTGCTCAACATCAGAGGTGCTCAGTGAGGGTTTGTTCAATTTAAGTCAGTTCTACATTTGCCATGTCACATCACCAGCCTCTTGAGAGTCATTATTGTCATTTTCACTTCTTCATCCTTCCTCCATGATCTCAAAATGGTCTGACTCAAGGCATCTCCAAGAAGGAACAGCCCCCACCAAACATTGCCCACTCAAGGTGAAAGGTTTGGAGAGGAGAAGAGAGGTTAAGTTTTCTCCCCTGTTCAGGGAGGCGAGCAGGCAGGAAAGGAAGCCACCGGGGAAATCCGGGATGGCCATGAGCGATGTTGGCCAACACTTCATTTTGGAATCTCATAAGCAGCCACTCTTCCAAAAGTTTCCCTGTGAAACATGGCCAACTTTGCAGCAGGAGCCGAGAACTGCGGGGGGTATGTTATGGTTGCCCTGCCAGCCCACAGACCAGAGGCATAGACCAAGAACCTTTCTTTGGGACATGGCCTATTTTCTCTCTGGAGGGCGGTGAGAGTTGTCTCTCTGGTTGTTCAGTTGGAGCTCTGGTGGGAACATTAGCCCTGCGGTGTGTTGAGTTGTCAGGCACATAGATTGTAATAAGGCTAAAGAATACAAGCTGCAATCATGGGCCTCTCCTTGAAAGGGGGAAGGGTCAGGAGGTGCTGGGAGCAGTGAGGGAGAGAGGAGGGTCCCAAGAAATCCTGCAGCTCTGATTCTAACAGGTGCCCTGCTCTGTCTCCCACTTCCGCTCCCTCTCCTTTCCTCTGGTTCTCCAAGTCCAGGTCAGGCAAAGGGGCCAGTTGGAAGTGGTGGAGGGAAGGGAAGGGCCTTTTCCTTTTCCTACCATGAATCCTAGATTTGGACAAGGGAGAGGTTACAATCCAGGGCAGAAGGAGGAGGGGTAGGGAGCTGAGGAGAGGCCTAGGCCCTGTCTACTTCTGTTGACTGGTGTAATAACTATATTTGAGACTCACACTTTTAACTGCATTGCCCCCAGAGAGCACGGAGCTCCTAATTGGGGGTGTTGAGAAAGTTCTTCGTGGGCGCTCAAAGGCGCTCATTGATTTGGGGAGATTGCTGCAGATCTTCCCATGGGAGGGCCCCTCTGGGGCCAATAAGGTGTGGAAACCCCATGGTCAGCATCAGCCCTAGAAATTTAAGAAAGGGGCCACGAAGCAGAGAGAAGAGAGACTTTTTCAGGCACCTTCTTTAGGAAAGAGAGTTGGACCTTGGGGCACTCAAGTTAGGACAGATGTTTCAGTATAAAAAGGATCCCCAATAAAAGGACAGAGTCCCCTCAAATCCCTTCCCAGATCCCACAGCACTTAGAAAAGAGAAAGTAAGGAGCATAAAAATATCTCGATGACGTGGGCTTGCCTGACAGTACAGAAAAGCAAGTCTCATGGCAGGCAGTGTGTCCCATTACACAAGAGAGGATTATACCGAGCTTCAGTAGAGAGATTTTACATATATCTTTATATAAATGCATATATATTTATAGAGCCTCTGCCTAGAACAGCCGGGCTTGCTTCTTCAGTTCATTCCTCTTCCAGAGGGCCAGCCGGTCAAACTCAGAGATGGTCATGCCAAAGACTTGGTAGAACTCTTCCTGGGACAGGTGGCGCTGAAGGAGGCAGGGCAGGTGGGGGTGGGGGGACAGAGAAAGAGAGCAGCATGAGGATGCAAGATGTGGGGGCAGGTGGAGGCAGCAGTGGGTGCTGCATGTTCCCTCCGGGCACCCTGTGCCTTGCATGGTGCCTGAGCCTGGGGCGTGTGTGATGAATATTTGTTGAATGAGTGAATATGGAATGAACACTTCCCCAGGGAGGACTCTGGAGCTGATTTGGCTGAAGAGGCCTCCTGTGCCTATGACTCAAGTGGGGCTTCCGCTTCCACTACACACCCCTTGGAGTCCCCTGTTGACTCCTTCCCTTTCTGCATGCCTGCTCCATGTATTTGCATCCAGAAATGTGTGTGGATTCACGCTATCTCACTCCCCTTTGAGAGAAAAAGGAGCCATGTCCAAGATTTTAGGGGATATTTCCTCTTACTGATGTTTTAACAAATGATCTGGAAGGCTGTTCATCAGGCCAGTCAATGAAAAACATTACTGCTCATAATTTTTGATGCACCAAAGTGTCCTTTTATCTTTTTCTGATATGAAAACAAGTATGCTTTATAATCAAACCCTTGTCTGCATTCTATAGTAGATTTTCTCCTCTTTCTGGCCTCCTTCCCTTCTTCCCTTCTAAGCAGCTTTAAAAGTGTGATACATTGTCAAAAGCTTTTAGAGTTAGAAACATACAGCACTTAAAAAGTAAAATGTTAACAATTGGTGTATTTAGTGAACGGTAGATGGATGTTCATTTTACTATTCTTGAAACTTTCTTGGAGAGCTAAAATTTTTCAAAATGGAATTTAAAATTAAGTTTAAAAAGAGAAATATATGGCATATATACTGCCTGGAAACTTAATGGGTTCACTTAAGCTGGCTTGTTGGTAGCAATTACCTGAGCTAATTGGGTAATGAAGGAGATTCAATGAAAATTATGTATGTGACCACACAATAATTTGTCAGTTCTTTGGCTTGTTGTCACTGTGAACTTTTTTTTTTTTTTTTTTTGAGACAGAGTTTCGCTTTGTTGCCCAGGCTGGAGTGCAGTGGCATATCAGCTCACTGCAACCCCAGCTCCCTGGTTCAAGCGATTCTTCTGCCTCAGCCTCCCAAGTAGCTGGGACTACAGGTGTGCGCCACCACGCTGGGCTAATTTTTTGGTATTTTAGTAGAGGTGGGGTTTCACCATATTGCCTAGGCTGGTCTTGAACTCCTGAGCTCAATCTATCCTCCTCAGCCTCTCAAAGTGCTGGGATTACAGGTGTGAGCCATGGCGCATGGCTATGTGAACTAGCATTTTCACCATACCTTCAGAATTTCAAGCAAAGGTAATATTGACAATTTTTGGTCAATAATTTTTTAAGTAGTAGAGCTGGGACCAAAGTCCAGGCAAAATGCATTACATTCCCAATGCCCCTCTTGGTCAGCCCCATTAAAAAATTCATAAGTAAGTCTTTCTACTATGAAAAATGTCAAAACTACACAAAAGAGAGAAAACGGGACAAAGCCCATGTCCACTATCCAGATCCAGTAATTGTGAGGTTTTCCACATTTGCTTCATTTATCTATTTTATTTGCTGAAATATTTTAAAGCAAAGCCTAGACTTTGTGTCAGTTCATTCCTATGCACCTGAGAATGTATCTCAAAACACACTGGATATTTTCTCACATTGTGGTTACACAATGCCATGAGTAAACCCAAGAAAATTTAATGAGAATTCCTCAGAATTCCCTGATACCTGCCCATTACAAAGTTCCTGTCTTGAAAATGTCTTTTTACAGTTGGTTTGTCTGAATTAGGACCCAGGCAGTGCCCACACATTATATTTGCTTGTTAGATCCCTAAGACCCTGCCTCTTTCTTTGTACTATTGACTTGTCCATGTTTGTGCCACTCAAGTAAGTAATGAAAGACACCCTGGATAGGAGAGTCCCCCTCTCTGCTACTTCCATGGTAAAGACTGAGGGAAACTGTACTTTGGAATCATTTGTTGTTGTTGGAGGGTGGTGGTCGGTATTGGTTCTCTAGTTGAGTTTCTCCACTATGTTCAAAAATCTTTGTTATGAGACTTGATATAAAGGAACGGTAGAGTCACCCTCAAGTAATGTGTTCAAAAGTCACCCTCAGGTAACGTGCTCACAAGTAGGACACATTGGAAGGAGACCAGGGCTTCTCTCCTCTAAGGGCCAGCTGGGGCCTCCTTTCTCCCTCCAGTTCTCAAGGCCCCTAATGCCACCACTGTCCATCTGACATTTGCCATAGAAAGGTGCTAAAGCAGGAAGGTTAAGAGAGCATCTCTTAGAGCCGGGGAGATATGGCCATGTGACTATGGACAAGTTACTTAACCCCTCCTGAACTTCAATTTCCTTTTGTGGAAAATGGGAGCTTCCTAGTGTCTGCATCATGAATACCATGAGGATGAATGAGCAGATACAGGTCTTGTGCTCAGCACTTGAGGGCACACAGAAAACACTCAATCTGGTCACTTTCACTATCATGGTGATCTTTTCATGCACCTGTTACATCGTGTGAGCTGCTCCCAGTTTCCTTGGATTTCATCTTCTCCTCCTCATCTTTGTTGTGCTCACGTGACCCTAGACATACTCACCTTCTGCTATGTTCAAACACAACAAGCTCACTCCTGCATCAGGGTCTCAACACTGGCTGTTCTCTCTGCCCAGAAAGTTCTTCCTGCTTATAAAAGCATGCCCAACTCCTCAACTACTTCGAACCTTTGCTTACATGTCATGCATCCAATGAGACCAGCTCTGATGATGCTATTTAAAACTGCAACTCGCCTCTTCCTCTCCTAATCCCCTTCTCTTCTCTCTTTTAACTTTTTTCCTTAGCACTCATTACCTTCTAACACACGGTGTCATTTATTTTTTCTTTGTGTTGACAATATTGACACAAATAAAGGAGACACATCTTGTGTCTCCTCACACAAGAATGTAAGTTCCAAGAGGGCAGGGGTCTCTGCTTTGTTCATTGATATATTGCAAGCATCTTGAACAGTACCTGGATGCTTCTGTGGACATAGGAGGAGAGCTAGGTTTGCTCCCTGCCCTCAGGGGGCCCACAGTGTCAGGACTGTACATAAAACTAGTGCTTGTGATGGTGGAAGAAGGGGAGGCAGCACAAGGCTCAAGTTAAGCTCCCTCAGTTCACACTCGGATTCTGTCATCACTAGGCGATCAGCTTTGACCAAATGACAGCCTTGCTGAATCTTTATTTTCTCCTCTGTAAGGTGAGGATGATTCAGTAAATATTTGTTGGATGAATGAATATCTATTCTCTGAGCTCCCTGAGGACAGGGTCACAGTCTTCCTTCTTCAGTCCCCTCCTGGAATTAGTGAAGGAGGCTGGGGCAGTGTCTTTAGCCCATGGGCCTCAGCTCGGGCTATGCTTTAGACATCCTTGGGTGCTTTTAAATAGTTCTGAGGCCTGAGCACATTCCCCAAATTGTGATTGAATCGGTCTACCGTGGGGCCCCTGTATGGTATTTTAAAAAAGTCTCTGGGTGATTCTGATGTCCTAAAGAATGTTTCCATCCCTAAAAACTGGCTTCACTGCACTGCCCTGGGAGCTGTCCCCTTCAGCACTGGTGGACGCTCTCATTTGGAGACAGTGAAAGGCGGAGGCCCTTGTTAAAATGTGAGGAGAATCACCCACTTCTAGCAACCCAGCATGCTAGAGTTGGAAGAACTCGCAGAGCTTCCTGGCTAATGTACATTCCCCTCCTGCCCCAACCCTCCACCCTGGGCCAATTCCACGCCAACAAGTCAAGGGCGGCTCGTATGCTCTTCCCGAGGAGTGCTGAGCCTCCTGTTTCAGAAGCCTGCACTCAATTCCATAAACATTTTCTAACACCTCTCCCAGCCCAGGCCCTGTAGTAAAGGACAGACAATGTTTGTCTCTAAGAAATTCAGGGTCAGGCAGAGGAAATGGACACATCCATGATCTGATACACAAGAGAGTGAGAGGTGCTTGATGCACTTTGGATAGAAGGCTGGAGGAGGTCAAAGGACAAGGGGAGTGACCCCTCCTGTAGGAGGGTTGGAGGAAGCTTTGGGGCACAGGGATTACTAGTGCGGGGCCCTGAGGAGCAAGGAGGCTGGTGAGATGGGAAGGGCATTGATATGGCTTGGCCGTGTCCCCACCCAAATCTCACCTTGAATTGTAATAATCCCCACATGTCAAGGATGGGGCCAGGTGGAGATAATTGAATCTTGGGGGCAGTTTTCCATATACTGTTCTCCTGGTAGTGAATAAGTCTCATGAGATCTGATGGTTTTATAATGGGGAGTTCCCCTGCACAATCTCTCTTGCCTGCTGCCATGTAAGACGTGACTTTTTCTGCAAACCTGTGTTGACTGGCCTCAGGCCTTAGTGGTCTTCCCTGGACAACAGTAATCTAATGTTCATTGGGCACTTCATACTCAGTATGTTGCCAGACTCTATGCTAAGGGCTTTATGGGTATTGGCTCACTCACTTCTCTTGGCAGCGTGAGGGAAGCACACCAATCACTCTTACTTTACAGAGGAGAAAACCAAGTTGCAGCGAGGTTGTCGCTTGGTTAAAGCTGCCCGCCTAGTGATGGCAGAATCAGAGTTTGAACCTAGGGAGTTTGATTCAAGACTTACTTATGCATTTTTTCCTTCTACATAGTGCTGCCTCCCTCTGTCCCCCATCACAAGCACAAGTTTTATGCACAATCCTGAGACTGCAGGCCCTTGGGGGCAGGGAGCAAATCTAGCTCTTCTGCAGTTCTGCAGAAGCATCGGCCCTAGTGGAGGACTTACTGTCTCTGTGCACCACAGACACTAACTGAATTGAAGAGGAGGCAGCAAAGAACAGCATGGGGCAGCTTTGGGGGAACAGCATGGGGCAGTTTTGGGGAACAGCATGGGGAAGTTTTGGGCTGAGGAAATTGGTTCAAGTCCCTGCTTTTTCCAAAAGCTGTGTGATCTTAAAGCCACTCTTCCACCCAGCCCTCTTGAGCTGGATTAGACCAAGCAACTTCCAAAATTTCTTCGAACCCAAGAGCTCCTGCTCAGTTTTTTAGACTTACCTCTAAACGGGTCCTGTCTACATCCTTGGGCAGACGGTTTCTTCCTCTTGTAGTCACCAGCAGCAGTTCATAAGGGTAGATCTAAGGAGAAAGGGAGGTGGTCTCCAGCTTGGGTGAGGGTGGTAGGCTTGTTCCTTTCAGGTATATTTTGTGTCTGGGCTCTCTGTTCTATCCAGAAAGGGCCAGAAATTAAGTCTGGAGGAAGGGCTGGATCTGCCCTTGTTGGGGTTTCCCAGCAGCCTTAAAATACCTTCTCTCAAAAGGCAAGGCCCCAGAGAGTCTCCTAATACTGCTAGGAATAAGCTTGGAAGTATTTGCCATGTGCCCATGGTATAATATGGGCACATGACCTACCGAATGTAAGTGTCTAATATTTGGCGACTGGCAAGTCACCAGAGTGTCTCTAAAGCCCAGGGAGAGTATCTGATTTCAGTAGGCAAGAGACCTAGGGCAGGATTCAGGAAAAGTGGGCCAAGGAGGGACAGGAAATGTTGGTCTTGAAAGGACCCCTGGGGTTATTTATCTCTGTTCCCTTCCCTACATAGACAGTGCTGTCATCCTCCTGGTGATCCCCAGTGTAGCAGCTCCAAGAATCCTGGAGACTCCCAGGGTCTATGCACATTCTTTACCTTGTACTCTGCAGAGAGAAAAAGAGACACACACACAGAATGGAGCCCATCAGTCTTCGCTTTGCATCACCACACGGGCCTCTGTCTTACTCTCTCAGGGGGTCTGGCCTCTATTGTCTCTTTCTCTTGACCACCAGAGACCTTGTCCTTGCTGAATTCACGCTGAAGGACAATCAAGAATGGTATGAGCACAGTGGAAGGCTGAAGATAGGAGTTGGGCTGATCTTGAGATAGTTCTAAGGAAAAAATGGCCTTAGAGATATTTAGAATAGAAATTAGAAGAATCTGAGATCTGAAACACATGGACAAGATCCTCTGTCTTCTGTGGGGAATCCTTCGAGGTTCTAATGTGGGCCCCTGCTGCCTGAGTTTGTTCATAGGAGCTGGTCAAGGTTGGTGTGAAAGCGTCACTGGCAGAGAGCAGAAAGCTCATGGAATTCTTACTGGGAACAGTTTGTATTTGACTGTGAGTGCTTCCTCCACCGGGACTGGCAGGCAACCCTTGCTCCACCGTCCAGGGAGAGGAGAGCAGCACTCTGTGATGGTTCTGGGAACCCAGATGGAACAGGTGGCCTGGAGATCACCCAAGGCCAGGACTTGAGAGGATGAGGGAAGAGCAGGGGTAAAGGGAGAGGGTGGGAAGTGAAAGAGAGTAAGAACTCAGGGTTGGACACAGCCCAGCGTGGGGACAGAATCTGTAGCCATCATTTGCCGAGGGTCAAGCAGCAGTTTTGAGTGGTACATCCGGAAGCCCTCTCCCTGCAGACCCCCTGCAGGCCTGCACTCACCTCGCATGCCCCAGTTGACTGCGTTCATGCTGTCGTAGTGGAAGAGGTCTGCGCTGGGCGTCTGCAGAAGAGACAGAACCAGGGCTGGCCTGAGATAAGCTCACTTCTGCCTCCCTGAAGCACTCACCCACCTCCAGAAAATGAACCAGCGCTTGTGGGACATAGGGCCTTCTCAGCAGCCTCTGTCTCAAGTTAGGGAAAGTTAACTCGCTGCTCCATCCCTGTGCTTTGTCCTGGCACATGCTGGGCACTCAATGTATATCCATTTATTTGGTGAATTTCACTTCATGCTTTCTTTCATTGCTCAAATACCCCTTTTTCTAGGAGATTTGCCCTGACAACCTGGTTGGAAGTTGCAAGTCACTCCTTCTATGAACTCTCAATCCTTATCCTGCTCATCATTTTTCTTTTTCCATAGCAGCGTGCTCAGGGAGCTCAGAAAACGTACAGGCCATGTTAGAGGCCAGTGGAGCACAGCAGTTGGGGATGGGCTGTGGGATCAGCTGGCCTGGGCTTGAATCCTGGCTCCACCACTTCTTGTTGAAGCGTGTGGGCAAGTCACCTCACCTCTCTGTGCCTTTCTGCATGCACAAAGTAGGGTAAATGATAGTAACCACCTCCTTGGGTTGTGAAGGACAAAACAAATTAGTGCTTGCAAAGTGTTTAGCTGAGTCCCCGGCACAGAGTTATTGCCCAATAAATACTAGTTGTTCCCAAGCCCCCCCGATGGGGGCCCCTTTTCATGAAGGGGTCGCCAGGGAGGGGAGCAAGTCATTGCCATACGGTTATTTCAGTTAACCCACCACTAGCCCCAGGACCTTTGCCCAGATTTCACCTTACAACAAGCTAATGTTGGATCTAATAGCATTTTGGGGACAACATCCCCCCCGCATCTCCCAGCACAGCTTCTTACCCTGTGCAGCCCATTTCTTCGGTAGGCAGGCAGGGAGGCAGATTTGGAGATGAGAGGATCTGAAAAGAAGGATCTAGAGCAATTACCAGGAGTCTCAAGCCATGAGTCCCTCTCCCCGAGGTCATCTGGCCACCAACAGCCAATATTGCTCCCAACCTAGCAGGAAGGGGTGGAGGCCAGAGGCCACCAACTCTTCCTGATGCTCTCCAGATTTGCAACTTGACTGTCTCTGGGGGCATTTCACTCTAGCAGAATTCTAGGTACCTGCCCAAGGCACCCACTCATACACTCTTCTGTCCTTGATCTGCACATCTCTATCTTCCTGTGATAGACCCCTGTGTCCTGGCCACAGGCTGGCTCCGGACAAAGGCCCTGGAATGGAAGTCAAGCTCAGAACCCAGGTAGGAAGGCTCCCAGGTGGTAGAAGAGGTATGTGCACTTTTTTCTCTCTGGGACCATCGTTTGGGGATGGCAATCCTAGTTCCAGAACCCCAAATGCAGACCCACAATCTGAAAAATACAATGGGGTAGACCATTTGAGGTCAGGAGTGTGCTGGGACATCCACACTGTATGGTCATTAGAGCTATGGAGAACTGCAGCTGACACAGCTCTGTCCCTCATGGGACATGATGGGCTGAAGGTAGGGCAGGCAGAACTTACCACTGTCAGCCAGGTAGTGTGACCGAGGGGCTGCAGGAGAGAAAAGCTGGAGGTCATTGCTCATGAGGACAGACAAACATGGTGGAGACAATTCATGGGGACAAAGAGACGTGGCTTCCATACCTGGTCCCCCTGGCTGGCTGGGAAAAGGGGCCTCTTTCAGCCCCTCCTTCCCCACTGGTCAGTTTTTAATTGTTGCACTTGCACCCCATCTCCCTCCCCTGTCCAGCTCCTAGCCTGGCACCTGGCACAGGGCACGTGCTCTGTGATATTTGTTGCGCAGATGTGGTTGAACAGGGTCGAACTGCAAACAGCACTGGTGCACTGCACAGACCCCAGAGCCAGGGGTTGAACACAGTGGCCCTCAGTGGTCAGGCAGGAAAACAGGCTCAGCAGTTCATTCTGGCTCTGCCATTAGTAGATATCTAACTTCAGACAATCTAATTAATCACGCTTCGGTTTTCTCATCTGCAAAATGGGGAGTGATAGTCTCCTTTGTAGGATTACTGTGAAGAATATGTGACACAATACAGTGAGATACTTAGCATAGTGCCTGATGCATCTATAACACTCCATAAAACTGATTGTGTCATTATTGCCACCAACATCAACATCTTCAATCTCACTGAGAGTCAAGGTGTAGTATGGGGAAGAGGGAAGAGCTTGTGGCCTTCGGGCCACTCCAACTTGGGTCTGATCCTGGCTCAGTCACTTACTGGTTCTCACTTGGAGCAAGTGGCTTAACCTGAGTTCTCTCATCTATAAAGCGGGTGAAAATAATCCCTCTACATTGCAGCTCTACAGGAGTGTAACATACCTACAAATGCCTGGCACAAGAAGTATAACAAATGATGCATTTTATTATCCATAAATTATTGATCTGAGATGAGATTTCCTGGCAGGACTGCATCTCACAGGAGTAAGAAAAGGAGGAGGCAGAGAGAGAGAGAGAGAGAGAGAGAGTGTGTGTGTGTGTGTTTGTGTGTGTGTGTGTTTGTGTGTGTGTGTGTGTGTGTCCAGGAATAGGGAGGAGCTTGCAATGAGATTTTCAAGAAGTGTTTGAATAAAGCCCCTGCTTATATAACTTCAAGTGATGGTAGACTCATTACCTCAGGAGGCCATCCCTTGCATCTTTGAGCCATTCTGATGATTATAAGACATTTTTCTTTACACTGAATCTGACTGGAAGTCAGAGCTTCCGATGCCCCAAAGCAATGGGAGTGACTGCTCCAGGCAGAGCACGCTCTTACGTGGAGTCCCATACAGCCCCTTTCCAAATCGTATTCTAGACCTCGATGAAGCTTCCAGAGGGGGCATTACAGGGTTTGGGGCTAACCTTTGTGGCCAGCCTCTTCTGATTCTTTTGTTAGCCCAGGGGATTGAGACTGGGCTGGCTACATTCCAATAGAACCTAATTTATAAAAATAGGCAAGGAAGCTGATTAAGTAAGCTCCATTACTGATAAATTGAGTGATCTTGGGCAAGTTACCAAAGGCATCTGTGCCCTCACTCCCCAGCTGTATACCTAGGGTGATACAGGCACCCCACCCACCCAGGGCTGCTGTGAGGAAGAAGAGAGAGGATGCATGGGCTGTGCCTCAAGGGAGCCTGACTCAGAGAGAACAGCTGACACTGCCAGCTAGTCATGGAGGAAGGTGTCCCCACCCTGTTGGGCTTCCAGAGCAGTGCTTACAGCCATTGAGGGACATCTCATAGCCAGCTGTGTGCAGGGCTTCCCGGCTGCTGGTGGAGCTCCGGGGAGGGGTCCAGGGGTCTGCATAGGAGCTCGACCGGGCCTTCATCTCTTCCTTCAGAATCAGCCGGCCGATTCCACTTTGGAGCTGAGGGTGGGGGAAGATGAAGTTAGAAGGAAAACAAAGGACACTGAGATGCAACCGGCTTGGGCAAGGCTGAGGATGGCATTCTCTATAGCAGCCTGTTCTCACGTTTGCCTTCCCAGCATGCCTCCCACCTTGTGGCACCCATATTTCCTGTTGCAACCTCATCTTGTCTTCCACAAGTTGTCCTGTGGTCTGGGTGGGGGTCTGGTGGTGGGCACAAAAAAGCAAGCCTGGCCAGTGACAGGATCCCATTGTCCTGGCACAGTGATTGATTCAACAATGGGCAGATAGCCACCTTTTTCTTTTTAACTGAGGTGAACATTACATAACTTCTAATTAACCATTTTAAAGGAAATGATTCAGTGGCATTTAGTGCATTCACAATGTTGTGCAACTACCACTTCTATCTCGTTTCCAAATACCATTATTTCCCCCAAAGGAGATCCCATACCCATGAAGCACTCACTCCCCATTCCCCTCTCCCCCAGGGGCCTGGGGACCACCAATCTATGTTCTGTCTCTGTGGATTTGCCTAGTCTGAATATTTCATGGAAATGGAATCACACAATATGTGACCTTGTGTCTGGCTTATTTTATTAAGCATAATGTTTTCAAGGTTCATCTGTATTGTGGCATGTATCACTACTTCACTTCTTTTCATGGCTGAATAATATTCCATTGTATGGACATACCATATTTTGTCTATTCATGAGCTGATGGACATTTGGATTATTTCCATATATTAGCTGTTGTGAACAGTGCTGCCACAAATATGGGTATATATATATATATATTTGTTTAAGTCCTGTTTTTAATTCTTCTGGGTATATATCTAGGAGTGGAATTGCTGGATCATATGGTAATTTTACATTTAATTTTTGAGGAACCACCAAATTGTTTTCCACAGTCGCTGGAACAAGGGTTTCACCAGCAATGAACAAGGGTTGCAAGCACCTGCTTACCATTATGTGAAAACAGCTTGCCTGACTATGAAGCCAATCCAGAGGCAAGCCCCACAAGTGAAAAGACAAATTTTCTATGGCATTTTTTTGAGCAGTTGGATCTAGTCATACTTTAAGTTAATGCTATCATTTGATTTTTCAGTTATGCAAAGCTATGCTTTTTTTTTTTTCTATTATAAGTGGACTTGAATTTGTTTTTTTGTCACTTGCAAATGAAAAGATCCTTAGCGATATACTCAAATGAGAAGATCCTCAGTGATATATGCTCTAAGCATCTTACTCAGTGGTGTGGCCTGCTCACCTTGTGCATGCTGCGGTCAAAATCATCCTCCTCTCCTCCAGATGAGAACCTTCTGGCTCGGGGCACTGTCAAAAGACAGCTAAAATCAGCATGTGTACCCCACTCGGCCTGGCTTAAGGCATTTTTTTTAAAAAAGAAAAGCCACTTTTCTTTCTTTTTAACCTTATTTTTCAATGGAAACAGTCTCATTTAAGCTAAGCCCCACATCAGCTGAAAGTGATCTCTGCTACCTTTGTGGTCTGTGAACACTCATCTCCCATAGGGACGGTCACTGTGGATATTAACCACTCATGCGCCCATTAGGACGGTTCCCAGCCCACTAGTGGTATTTGTATCATCTAGCCTTCTTTTCTAGATGAAGACTTCTTTGAGAGTAGCAAAAGAGTCGTCCTTTTATTAAATTTTTAAATTTTTGAGACAGGGGCTCACTCTGTCACCCAGGCTAGGATGCAGTGGTGTGATCATGGCTCGTTGTAGCCTCAAGCCCCTGGGCTCAAGGATTCCTCCTGCCTCAGCCTCCCATGTAGCTGGGACCACAGGCATACACCATCACGCCCAGAGAATTAAAAAAAAATTTTTTGTAGAGACGAAGTGCCATGTTGTCCAGGCTGGTCTCAATTTCCTGGGCTCAAGTGATCTTCCCATCTTGGCCTCCCAAAGTGCTGGGATTATGGGCACGAGGCACGGTGCCCAGCCCCAAAGAGTTATCTCTGAGCTTCCATGAAGCTTTGCTCAGAATGCACATTCAATTAGTAAAGACATTGAATCAGAGTGGATCTTGATGAAAATTTCCCTCCATACTTGAGGGGAACAGCTTGGATTGTATGATTGGGTGAGGTAGTATCTGAGGACCACTGAGACCCCCTTACCAGAAGCCTTCCACCTCCCCACCTCCTCTCTTTCTCCATCCTCCAAACCATTTTTTACCCTCAGCCAAAGTGGTCTCTCAAAAGCACAAATGTGATCGTGCCACTACTTTCAATGTGATCATGCCACTCACTGTTTAGGATAACAATCAAAATGTTTACCTCAACCCTCAAAACCCCGGGGGAACTCCTCCCTCATCTCTACTGCTTCTCTTCCTTTGTGAGTTCAAGGTTAAGTGGACAGCCTTTTCTTTCCTCCAATGGAATCCTTCCTCACATCTTGGGTATTTGCAGAGGTATTTCTATACTCTCTGCTGTGTTACATCCTTGCCACCCTCCTGATGGCAGCTGAGTGACTGCATCCGAGAAGCTTTTGTCATCTTCAGGCTGGACAGCAGGCTCCTGCCATCAGCTCTCCCACCTTCTGTGCATCACGTCCCTCTCATGGCTGGGGCCTATGTCTTCTCCACAAGGGCAGGGACCTGGTCTGTTTTGCTCCCCAGTGTATTGCTAGGGTCCATGGCCAGTGTTTAGTATATATTTGTTGTATGAATAAACACCCTCAGTTATAAACTCTCTAAGCACTCTTATTCAGAATGATTGTATAAAGGAGTCGGCAACTGTTCTGAACACCCGTGTCCTTGGCACAAGTGATAGGGCCCTGGCCCTAAGCTCCTATGGGGGTGCTACCTTTGGGGGACCCGTGGTAGGTCCAGTACTCAGACTCCGAAGCATAGTAGGGGTCTGGTGAGTAGGCGGGACTGTACTTGGAGGTCTGGCTGATGTCTTCACTTGTTTTGCTCTTGGTTGCTGTAGACAAATCACCTGCAAAGGACCCAAGGAGAGCACTTCAGGAAGGCAGAGTGACCGGGCTGGGACTGTGTACCCTTTTCCTATCTCTACCAGGCTCCAGCCCAGGGGAGTGAGGCCACTTCAGGGTCAGGGCTCTCTGTTAGGAATGGGCCATGGAGCATCAGAGCTGGAAAGCACTGGGGCCAAACCCTCATTCTGCATTTAGTAATCGGAGCACCAGAGAGGGGAAGGGGCTTGCTTGAGACCACATAGCATGTGAGCACCAGAACTGGACCAGACTCAGCCCAGAGCTCTTTCCAGCACATTCCATGGATTTCCAGGTCTGTTCCAGAATGAACTCTAAGGGTATGGCTCCTCAAATAAGACTCGACAGGTCCCAGGTGAGCCCCAAGCCTTACCTTCCTAGCCCTTTAGAAGCCTGCCTTGTTATAAATTCGAACGCCATGATTCCTCACAACCTGAGATGGCCTATTCTGCTCAGGAACTACATGGCCTGAAGGAAGGAGTGCTAGACAGGGAGTCAGCAAAGCTGGATTCTGGTCCCAGCTCTGCCACTTTACTCAGCTGTAACACTGGGCAGGCCCTACCATCTCTGCCTTGGTTTCCTCATCTGTAAGTGTCAGAATTGGTCTGCTGGCTCAGGTGCCATTCAGCTTCAAGCTTCCACCTGAAGTAAGCCCAGGACAGGGGTGACCAAAAAGACCCACTGTAGTCACAACTACTTAGAGAGCAGTGACTTCTAGTGGCCCAAACGTGGGTGACAGGCTGGTAGGGCAGAGAGAGGGGCTGGGGAAGTGTGTGTGGCTGCATGACCATTTCTCATGGTCAACTACAGGAAGCTTTAGGGACAAGCTCTGTGCTCTGTGGAGCCAGAGTGGCAGAGGGTGGTGGATCAGCTTCAGCTAGCCCCAGGTTATGCAGCCCCCACAACTACATTTGCTTCCAAAGCTTTCAGATTCTCTCTTTGACTTGGGTCCTGGGCAGCCACTCCTGGCTGATTGTATTTAGCTTTTTCCTCTGCCCTCTTTTCCAAGCAACCCTCCTCTTGAGTCTGCTTTAGTGCCACCCCTCAGAGCCCACCTGGAAAATCCCACGAAGTCCTGAGAAGCTTGCGACCTGGGGGCCTTTTCTAGGCAAAAAGCCAAACCACCTTTGTCAGGTTGGTTTCTTTCTGTGGGTACTCAGGGGACATGGCACGTCCTTCACAGGCTGGTACAGATGTGCACATGCTCACAGACTCACCTCGGACGCCCTGCTTAGCCCCCTCTGGAACCAAGGATGTCTGTCTAAACTGTAGAATGTTAGGCACCCAGAGCCACTATTTAAACTTGTACTGTCCACTCCACCGGCTAAGTAGTTCAGAACCTGGTGCAGGACTGCTTCATTCATCTCCAAGCTCCACCGATTCTGGGCCTTGCTTTGCTATCCAGGTAGACCCTTAAGCAAGTGCAGGTGCATAGGGTGGCAGCTGCTCCTCTGCAGCTTCAATGGAAGGGATGTGCTCGTTCAATCGAGGCTTAGTAAGTACTTTTTGCAAAAATGAACAGGTGGTGTCAGTGATTAATGACTTGGTGGTTCTCATACTAAGTGCAGGTAGGAATCATGGACAAAGCCAGTTATAGTGCAGATTCCTAGTTCACACCCTCAATATTTATAATTAAGGGAGTCTGGGACAAGGAAGGGGCCAGGCAATCTGCCTTTTAAGTGTCTGTCAGATGCAGATGGTACATAGATCCTTCTTTAAGAAACACTAAATCAAGGAATGAATGAAAGAAGGAAGTGACCCTCTGCTTCTTATGCATCTACATCTCCTCTGCAAGTCTCCATCCACTCTCAGGAGACTGGGACTGAGAACAACTTAGAGCGGGGGTTCCCAAGCTGGGCTGAGCATCAGAATCACTTGGAGAAACTGTGACAAATACGAAATTCAAATTCAGTAAGCCTGGGGTGGGGCCCAGGAATCTGTATGCATCCCATGTTATTCTAATGAACACTTTGAGTATGATTGCCTTGGAGTGTGTCTCTCCCAGGGGTATGTGCATTTTACAAAGGTTTTACCAATTATGGAACTTAGGATGCCAGACAGCAGGTAAGGGGGAGATTGCAAAGGTGGTGGGAAAGAACTCAGGGGACATGAGGACTTTGTTCTTTTGAAATGACACCAAACTCCTCCCTAATGTCACCCTGGGTGACAGGGCAGTCAACAAGAAGGACCAAGATGCAGCCTTGGGTTTTGTGGCTCCTGGTGGCCTGTGCAGGGCCATTTGCATAGATGGTTAACCTCCCCCTTCTCCTTGTGTGGCCAAGTCCTATCTGCCTCTGACCATACCATGCCGTTTGTAGATCGGGGGTTTCCGGTAGATGTTACTGTCTCCAGCTGCCAGACAGACCAGGAAGGGACAGTGGGGAGGGGAGAGAGAGAGAGACAGGAGAAAAGGAGACAGCACTTGGTCAGTTGATCTCAGAAGGGGCAACAACTTTTTCCAAGGGGCCACCATCTTTTTCCCCTGGTGACTTCCTCTTCCAAAGTTGAACTTCCAACCTCATCCCAACAGGTTCCAAGTAACGTGCGGGAAGAGGAATGGATGGATCCAAGTGGTGCTGAGGAGGGGACCCGGGGCTTGAAGGGTGAGCATGCAGGCACAGGGGTATGTGTGCTCAGCAGAGCCCCATGCAAGAAGGTGTCCACTGCCTCCACTAGTGGCCACACCTCATTCCACGTGAAAATCTCCAGGATGCTGCAGCCGAATTTCAGCTTACCTCCCTCCCCCTCCCTCGAAGACAGACAGGATGGGACCCCTCTAGGGCAGCTGAGGAAGGTGTAGATGAAACAGCAGCATGAACTCTTGAGGGGAATGTGAGTGAAAAACTGAGCTTGGTGTCAGGAGACTGAGGTCCAGGCCTGGCTCTGCTGTGACTCAGAGGGAGACCTTGTCCAAACCACAGCCACTCGGTCATCTAGCCCCTGTCTTCCTCTCAATTCCTCTCATGACCTGCGGTCACATGACATGATAGTGCTGTTCCCTCTGCCTGGGATATCTTTCCTGGGCTTCTTCACAGGCTGGCTCCTCATCGTTTTTTTTTTTTTTTTTTTTTTTTTGAGACAGAGTCTCGCTCTGTCACCCAGGCTGGAGTGCAGTGCCACGATCTTGGCTCACTGCAACCTCCACCTCCCAGGGTCAAGCAATTTTCCTGCCTCAGCCTCCTGAGTAGCTGGGATTACAGGTACGTGCCACCACGCCCAAGTAGTTTTTGTATTTTTAGTAGAGATGGCGTTTCACCATGTTGGACAGGTTGGTCTCGAACTCCTGACCTCATGACCCACACGCCTAGGCCTCCCAAAGTGCTGGGATTACAGGCATGAGCCACCAGGCCGGGCCCCTTCTCATCTTTCAGCTTTAATATTACCTCCTCCAAGAAGCTCTTCCTGACTGCCCCATCTAGCCTGGCCTCTCTCAGCCCCATCATATCTCAGGATCGCCTGTTTTATTTATGTTTATGGCACCTATTGCTACCTGAAATTATCCTCTACATATTTGTTTACTCATTTTTTATCTCTCTTCCTACATTAGTACATAAAATACCAAATACCATGAAGGCAGGATCTGGGCTGGGTGGAACACAGTTGCGACCTCTGGGCCCAGAACAGTGCTTGGCTGTACAGAAGGAATAATAGCGGCTTGGGAAGCCAAGTAACTGGCCCACAGTCATGAGCTTATAAGCAGCTGCATCGGATTCCATCCCAAGAGCTTTGAAGCCAAAGCATGTGGACTTCACCACTGTGTGCTCCTGCTGCGGCCCTCACAGCCCTCAGGCATTCGCGGTATCTCACTCGAGCTCCCTGCCTCTTTTCTTCCCTGGACTGCTTCTTTGATGTCCTAATGGAGGTTGGTTTTGTCAAGTGGATAATCTGAAGCCCGTGGGTGTGTTGGGGTTGGAGGACAGGGTTGGTGCAAGTGCTTGGTTAGGGGGGTCCCTCAGGAACCAGCTTCTCGGTGCCTGTGCGGCATCGAGGGGGAGACGCAGGCACCTGTGACCCCACGGAGCATGCATCCATCCCAGGAATTCCGGGCTGGCAGTGCCTACCTGGGATGTGAAAGTGCTTGGGAGCCTGGTAAGAGGTTGGAGTGGAGGACCTCACATCTAACTGGCTATGGTATGGAGAGCTCCGGCCACTCTCGGGCCCTGGAGCACGCAGGCAGTGGTCCCCAGAGAAAACAGAGGCACAGAGAAAACAGGCATTAACGCGGTGGCAGTTAAGGAAGCGGTGAGGTGATGACAGCAGAGATGGGGGATGGGCTGGGGCGTCCCAGCGTGCTCAGGCTCCAGGGCGGAAGCAGCATGTGCTCTCATGCACCACGGTAGCAGAAACAAGCTTGACCTTGCTTCCTGACTTGATCCCAAAGTCAGATTTTGTGAGGTGTAAAGACCAACTCTACTGAGCTCCAGGAAGGCATCTTAGTTTGTCCCTCTTATCTCCCCAACCATCCCCGAACCTCCCGCTTTTGGACGCTCCCTTAATTGCTCCTTTCCTCCATCCAAGTGCCGGCTTCACCCCCAACCTCAGGGTGACTGTGGATGGCCTGACTGGGCTGGCTGGGGTGGCCCTCGGGTGAAGGCCAGTTCATAGTCGTATTTCTGGTCTCTTGGTTCTGCCCTCTGGATGGCGCAGGCCATGAGGATGGTGGAGTCTTCTTCCAGCCAGGGCCACAGCGCCACCTGCCAGCCCCCTCTCCTGGAAGCTCACCACCCACCTTCCTGCTGCTTCTCAGTGCCACACACTCCTGCCATCTCAGGGGCTCAGAGAGGCCCAGCTGGTCACCTGGGTGGCCATAGGCCTCCAGAGGGCCACACTGGGATGGAGATGGTGGGGGAGCCTTGTGCCCTCTGCAGCAGGGACTCCAAGTCACTACATTGTCTCCCTGGCTCTTCCTCTCCCTTCAGGACCTCCCCCTTCCTTACCAGAGCGGTAGTAGTGGTGAGGTGAGCGGGAGAAGGTGGGGGACATGCCCTGCCGGCTGTAGGTGGGGGAGTCTATGTACCCCGGGCTGGAGGCCCGTCTCTGCCGGAGGTCCAGGTTCTCGTAGATGTCCTGGGGGAGGAAATGGGGCTGTGAGCACGGCTGGCCGTTAAGTGGGCCTGTGGCCCAAGGGTCTAGCAGGCAGGTGGGCATGACATGGAATCTAGGATTCTAGGGGTTGAGGCGTGAATACAGAGACCACCCCCCTACCGCCGCCAAGTTACACACACAGCCTGAGGAAGGTGGCAAAGAATTTCCAGGGCTTTCCCCCAACACTTGCAGGCCCTTGAATGGAATCCATGGGGTCAATCCCTGGAATACTGACCAGCGATCCCAGAAGCCTGAGGGAGGCCATCTCTGGGCAAGAAGGGCAGATTTCCATCCTGTACGCCACTGCCACTTCCTCCAGGACATGCACCCGACTCTCTCCAGAGCTTCCCTGCTTGCAGGGAGCACCTTGGGCAAGGGCTTAGACACCTTCGGGGGGCTGGGGATGGGTGAAGTCCGCATAAAGGGGCACAATTATATATCAACTTAATTCTCTACCAGCTGAATTACCTGGGAGTAGGGAGATAATGTTCCCAGCGACTTAGAAGTGAAGAGTTTGAAGGCAGTTGTGGAACGAGCAGAAGGAATGACAGGAGGACAAGAGGAAGGACAGAGCATGGTTAGACGGGTCGGCAGACAGGGCCTGCAGCAGTCCCCCAGTACCCCTTTCCAGATAACAGCCTCGCTGGGAATTCCAGAGGGTCAGACTACTGATAGGAGGCAGGACACCTTGAGATTATGCCCGCCTTTTAGGAAGGGAAAATCCAAAGCCCAGAGAGAGAATGCGAAGGCTCAGGGCCGCTCAGGGCAGCAGTGGCAGGGACTTGACTCGGACCCAGGCTTCTGTACCGCATGCTCAGGGCTATTGTCACCATCCTTCCCTGTCTCTCTATTGGTTCATGACCCCTCTGCGGTTCATGAAGACAATGCCCAGGGCAGGGCACCCAAATATATGGCTAAGCAGGGGCCAGGCTGCTGCCACCAACAAGGGAGTTGAGCTGGTGGCTGGTGCAGCAGCTGGAGATGGGATGTCTCGACTGAAGAGGGCAGTGGTTCCTCAGCTCCAGCAGCTGGAATGCCTGCCCAGCATTTACACAGCATCTTAATTTTCCAAGAAAGTCAGAAATGCCGATTCTTATGTGAAATCTCCCAGCGTTTACATGTTGACAACCAGTTTGCATTTTCAAAAGACACTTTATGAGTGAAACAAAACAAATCTGAGGGCTGACTGCAACCTATGGACCCTAGTTTGCCATCTCTAACTGAAGGACAAGCAGCTTCTACTAAACACTTGATCTTTCTCTCCTGGTCCGTTTCAGGGGCCAGAAACCAGAGAATCTCAGCAATGGACTCTTCAACCAAATGGAACCCAAATTCCTTAGAGAGGAGGGAGACTTGCCTGAGGTCACAAGGCTAGTTATGGTGGAGATGGGACAAGAACCTGGGTCCCTGCCCATCAGGACAGGCTTCTGCTGCCCCAAATTAACTCAGGGGGTCTGGGATAAGGTTAGAAATCTTTTAGGATATAGACTGACAGGACCTCCAGGGTAATTCTGCCCCCTACCGCGCTGCCATCTCCAGAGAACACTTTCTTTTGTTTAGCAACCATTTAATGATTTCAAAAGCCATCTGTTACTGCGTCTTTATAAAAGTGTCTCTTCCTTTGAAGAGACATTGGGGCTAAAGGCCTGGTGCGAAAACCAGAGAACATGTCTAATCAGGGATTATAAACCCAAATGGCCATTGAGCCTGGCAGGAGATGAGCGCCTTGGGCTGAGTACCTGAAAAATTCCTACAGTATAAGAAATACAACAGCTTGAGTAATAATTGGTCACAGGCTCTCAGCTTTAATGCTGGGATTAACAGGGAATGGGAGGACTGGGGAGAATGGAAAGCTCATGTCCTGACTATAGGGGGTGCTGCCACCCATCTCCAGATGGTGGAAATGTAGGTTTAATGTTGTCAGCTCTGATATTTTCAAGAAAAGCCAGAAAGCCAAATGAAATCTCTTCATTTAAAAAATGTTGGCCATAAATCCCAGGGTAGAAGAGTCTGGGTCCAGCATTGTGGAGGCCAAACTGTCTGTGATGGAGAGGGCTGGGGACCCCGGCGGAACCTCCTTTCCTACAATAGCCCCAGAGAGAAGGGCAAGACGCGATACCTCTCCATAGCCACATCTCTCCAGCATCTCGTCGGACGTGTATCTGGAATGAGGCTCATAGGAAATGAGGTCGGGGCGTTGTACCTCGTAGATAGACTTAACCTTGGGGAGAGCCGCCAGGTCTTTGTAATTAAGGATCTCATTATCCACTTTAGCCTAGGGAAGAGGGAAATGGACAGGAAAGGAAGAGAAAGATAAGAGGGAAAAGGGAATGGAGAGAGGAAACAAAAACAAGATACAGAAGGAACGAACTTCTCCAGTTTCCACTAAAAACAGAAGATTAGGATCAAATTGAAGAATAGTAGAATGTTAGACTAAGAGCAGTCTTAGAGGCCATCCATTCCAACAGGGCTAACATTTATTGAGCACATATTGTTTGTAAGGCCCTGTGCTTTACAAGAATTATCTCCTCTAGATGTTGTAACGCCTCTGTGAAGTAAATGTCAATATCATTTCTATTTTCCAGCTGAGGAAATGGAGGCTCAAAAGGTTATACAATTTGCACCACTAGGCTAATGGGTTTGAATTCAGCTTGAACTACACAGCCTGGGTGCTGACTGCCTTCCAATCCCACAGAGCGAGGACAACACAATTCACAGCATTCTTGAAGAAGAAGATGAAGACGGTAAAGACAAAAATAATCATGATAGTAAAACACTAGCTAACATTTGGTGAGTACTTATTATAAGCCAGGCTCTGTACCAAGTCCCTTATGTAGATTAACTCAGTTCACCCATACAATTCACAACTCTAGTAGTAGGCACTAACATTATCCTCATTTTGACTAAGAAACCAGAGGCACAGAAAAATCAATTAATTTGTCCAAGGCTATATAGCTAATAAGTTGCAAGAGCCCAAATTTCAACACAGAGAGCCTGCCCTCTTCAGCGGCCTCCCCTGTCTTCTTGGGATGGGGAGTTCATTGTCTTACACCGTCCGAAGGCTGCACTCAGAAAGCTGCTCCTTCCATTGAACTGAAATGAGCCTCTACCTTCTGCTTGACTTTGGCAGACTTCAGCCCTCTAGAGCTGCATGGATTGAAAGAAAGCTCCCCCTTGCATGTGACAGCCCGCATCTCATGGCTCCTGAAGCCATGTCTTTTCCACGGCCATGCCCTCCAGCTGTTCCCTCTGTGACCTGGTGTTTGCTATGATCAACCAAGATCTGTCTTGCAAGGTCCTGAGGTGCTGCAAATTACGACAGAGACTGCTAGATAGAGAATCCAGAGACTGTATTAGTCTGATAATGTTCTCCCAATGCCATAGGAGCCAGGTACAGTCTCAGGGCCAAGACTACTCTACAGGGAGCAGCATTCGTAAATACTTATAAGCTGTGCTATTTTGAACACTTACCAAAGCCCTTGCACTATTCTATCGCTGCCACATCAGCACTGCTATCAGGGCACTGTTGCTTATTCTCATGCTGCTTATTCTCTGTTTCACCTAGACCCAGTGTCCACTCTTCCTTGCCTGAATCTATGCTCTGAACACTGCCTAGGCTGTATCACAGGCTCTTTTGTTCTCCGGCTTTCAGTTGGGTTTAGCCAATGGGATGCAACAGCAGAGATTAAGAGGGTGAATGGAGAGAGAGGCTGGTACACTTATTCCCCTGGCAACCTTCCTGGCTGGCTGTGGGCTGGGCCTGACTCTCTCTGAAGGCTGGACTTCCCCAGCTCTTGCCAGCTTTGGTAATGCTGTTCCCTTCCCACATCTCTTTAGCTCCAGTGTGGTAATAACATCATGTTGCTATAGTCCCTGGATACCTCATTATCTCCTGTGAGTCCACTTAACTCTGCCCACACCTCCGTCATGAAACCCTCCTCAGTTGAACTCTTTGAGGTAGGCCACCTGATTTCTGCCAGAGCCTGCCTGGTACAGACACTCACATCTGCACCAGTTCTGGGGGTGTGTGGATAAAGAAAGCCTTTATTAGATGAGAGTCCACTTGCTGAAGTAATTGCTGCTTTTGTCCTGGATGTTAGATCTTGACCTTGAGAGCTCTTGGCATCTTCCAAACTCATCTCGACCCGTAACTATTCATCTTGGCACTTTACCCCAAACCTCAAAAATACTAAATTTATATTTCTTCCTATAGCCACTTTGTTTACAGGGCTATAAATGAGCCTCAGGTCTGGAGACACACCAATTGATCAGAGGCATCCTACCATAATTAGCCAGAAAGGAAGGAAGGAAGGAAGAGAACACATGGGTCAAAGCCAAACCACCTGAAGATGATTCTAGAAGTCAGTGGAGATGGAGTAAAGTTTGAAAGTTTGAAAGAACCTGCTCATTTCAGGTTCGCTGATAATTCTATTTGAATATCAAATCTCAAATGTCTATGAAAACTAAATTAAAATCCATCTTTAAGCTTGTTATTGCATCTATCCAAAGCAGATGGATGAATTTTTTTTTCCAAATTTGGAAACCATGCTTGGGATGGGCTGACTGAAAACATGGCTTCTATGACATGTTCAGTCATTCCCCAGAGCAGCTGAGCACGAGGCACCATACACGGTGAGAGGAGGAGAGGCTGGAAGGGGAGACACATGCCTCTGCTAGGATGTGAGGGACAACTGATCTCAATGTGTAAGCCCCTAGTTGGATGGCACAAGCACAGGTGTTCTTAGCTGCCATCATAAATTCCATTCTGTAATGAAGTTGCTTATCACAGGGGCAATTCTGAGAAACTTTCTCCAGGACTCCCAGGTGAACATCATCAGGGCTTATTTCACAAAGGTTTATGAGGCTCCTGAGTAGCACCGGGAGACCAGCTCGTGATGAACGGTATTACAGTGCAGCAGCTCCCTGAGTGCTCCTGTTCTAGTAACTCTCTTCTGGAAACATACTCACATTTGTCAATAACACTCTCACCGTGCGTGCCTGGAAACTAAGCCCGTTAATCCTGCTGTGGTCTGGCCCCATTCACAGTGCCAGGGAGACTATCACCTTTCTTGCTTTAGACAGGAATCTTCAATGAGTACAGCCTGTGATCAAAGCAGCTTGTCTTTTTTTGACAGCCACATGGTAGTATTGACCCATATTGAAATTTCAGTCAGTGGTAACTCTTAAGCATTTTTCTTTTTTCTCCATTTGACCAGAGAAGAAAGGAAAGGTGCCCATAGTCCCATCAATGGGCATCATCCAAGGATCAAAGAGGAGACTGGATGTGGATTAGAAGTAATGATCTAGCAGTAGTGGACAGGGCCAGGGCTTGGCTGGTTTGGTGATTATATTTAGAGCTTCTTGTGAGGAGTAGGTTTCTTGTTACAGACCATTTTCCCCACATTTCTGGTCTTCTTGGCTCCTTTGGCATGTGGAAGGCTGGAACAGTCCAGAGTCAATCAGACTGAGGTTTTCTGCTCATTTCAGTTCTCCCTGGCTCTGCGTTTCCCACCTCCTTTAGCTTATTTCTGTTTATCCCTCTCCTTTGAGTTTAATGTTTCTTCCTTCTCCCAACTAGTCCTAGATTGTCAGGTCCCTCTGTTTATCTGTAGCATCATCAGAGGACCCTGTGCTTTTCCTTCCTGGAATTTATAACTGCAATTGATGATTCATGGCACTGTGTGTTCAATGTCATGAGGACAGGCATCAAGTCTGTGTAGTTCATCACCATTTCCCCAGAGCAGAGCACTGCACTTAGCAGAGTAAATGCTTGGCACATGTTTGTTGAATGAATGAATGCCATATACAAGGGGCCTCTGAGGTCATTGAACTCAACTTCTGTCTCTTCTTCTACATCCCTGGCAAATGATGAGTCTCTCTGTGTTTGAATGCCTGTGGAGATGGGAGGTCAGACACATGGAGGTGGATCTGCTGCATCCCTAGACTTCCCACATGATTAGAAAGCTCTTCCTTATGTTTGCAAATTCTTTACAGCCATGTTTCCACATGTGTATGTGGCTTCCTTCTCCTTTCTGCCTCTATCTCCACATCAATACTCCACCTAATACCTATTCAGAATACCACTTTGATCCTCAGATTTTTCTTGCTTGTCTCAGTTAAGTAGTGGGAAAGGAGGTGCCTTGCATTGGTTTTAGAACTCAGCAAGGGCTCTTGTTGTCATTGTACTTTCTTTCTCGTGCTCCATGGAACTCTGCATTATTCCTGAAACTGGGTTTACTAGACTGTGTGCTTCATGAGGGCAGGATCTATGTCCTCCCTGTACCCCACTGAATCCTCAAGACCTGGTACAGAGCCTAGCATGTGAAGAGCATGCATCAAATGTCAGGTGGATGAAAACCTGAGAGCTCCCTCGTCCTTAGTGACTCTTTAGACACCAGGTCAGGAATAAGGAAGGCCCTTTGGTGGAAGAAAAGTGATACATACGCAGATGACTCGGTTGGGTGACCCAATGCTGGATCCAGGGGGAGAGATGGAGGTTTCAGATGTCCGTCTATGCTGTGGAAGAGATGAAGACAGAAGAGGTGAGAAGCTGCAACCTGAGCTTGGTGGGGAGGGTGAGAAAGGGGGTTAAGAATGCAACATTAGCAATACCATTAAAGTACTCTCTGGCTACTTCTGTACTTCCTTCTTATTCTTTGCCTTTTAAGTCAAGGTCTGAGTGTGAATGAGATCTAAAATGCAAGGACTTCAGGCTGTTGGGGGCAGAATATGGATTTATTTTCTATGTATTTGCAGCTAGCAGTCTAAATAGGAAATTACTCATAAAACTTTTCATTTTGAGTTATCCCAGTCAATAATGTATTTACTTTAAAAAAAATAAAATTGGTTAGTATTCATTCCTTGGGAGTTTGTTTATTCAAAATGTAAAAGTGGGTTAAACTTCATGTCATTGCACAATATGCTGATTCTTTACAGTGTGTTAATTGCAAATTGACATCAACTTAAGTGATAAACTTGAAAAAAGAAAAAAAAACTGTCTCTGAAAAATGGCCATGATGGATTAATAGCTTCCTTAGCAGAGCAGCATGATGTCAGTCCTAATGCATAAGAGGGTGCCTGCATGATGTAAAGGGATTAGGAATCAAGGACTCATGGGTGAAGTATGTGGTCTTAGGCATCTTGGATTCTTGATCTGTAAAATATAGAGGCTGAGCTTCAGGACCACTTGATTCTCTCCCAGTTTTCTCATCCTACAATTTAAAGCATTCTATGTGGGGTTATAAAGTTTCCTAAACAGTGGACTGTGAACTAGCGGTGGTTCTGGGAAGATGAAGGTGCAACACTTGATAATACTGAATCATAGAGTTAGAGAGTAAAATCTAACATTTCAATCCCCTTGATTAGATCAAGGAGGCAGTCTCAGTTTGTTGCTAATACATTTCAACAACTCTCTCAACAATTGCCAATTTCCTATTTTATTTTTGAGACAGAGCCCCGCTCTGTCACCTAGGCTGGAGTGCAGTGGCACAATTTTGGCTCACTGTAATCTTTGCCTCTAGGTTTCAAGTGATTCATCTGCTTCAGCCTCCTGAGTAGCTGCATGGGCCACCATACCCAGCTAATTTTTGTATTTTTAGTAGAATTGCGGTTTCACCATGTTGGCCAGGCTGGTCTCGAACTGCTGACCTCAAGTGATTCGTCTGCCTTGGCCTCCCAAAGTGTTGGGATTACAGACGTGAGCCACCACACCCAACCCAATTTCCCTTTTTAAACAAAGAGAGTGCAGGCAACATTGTCTAGCTAGAATTTTAAAGATTTATTCTTAAGAATTATTTCATTACCATTGAATTTATTTTATGATTACCTTCTATTTATAGCAAGTATAACTGGTTTCCACATGGCAATATAAAGTTTTATTTTAAAATAAGTTAAGTTAATAAAAAGTAGTGACTTGATTTAGAGAAAAATATTAAGTATATAATGAAACAGGTGGTGCCCAGATATGGCAACAGGCATCAGGGTTGTAGAGGATGACTGAAGTTTGGGAAATGCCACCAAAGAGGAGGAAAATGAAGAAAGGGACAAGTAGGTCTTACACCTTAAATGGAAGAGGGTCTTGGAAGAAACAGGGAAAGAAATTCAGGGGTTAAAAAAATAATTATGCATCAATAGACTGGCTCTTTCAGAAAACTTTCATTAAGTGGATGAGATAGCAAGGAAGACATGTTTAGCTGCTCAGAAATTGTGCACTTGCTTTTCTAGTTGGAGAGACTCTAGTGGGTAACACAATAGAGTCCCAAGGGGTCAACTTGATATCTGGGGGCCAGGATGTGAAGGCCCCATTGCCTATCCCCCAACACACACCCCAGGTGTCTCCTCCACATCATCAAAGACCTAGAAAATGGATCCCTCCCGCAGCCTGGAAGACTCAACCCCTCTCTGCAGTGTCAGGAACCCAGATTCACAAGGCTTCCTGACATTTGTCAGAGCACAGTAATTCAGAGGGACGCAGGACCTCAGCTGGCCCCGTGCATACCTGGGGATGTCGGCTGTGCTTCTGCCTGGCTTTGCTACTGCAGGCAAATCATCACCTCTTTAGACCTGGTTTTCTCACAGGCGAGGCAAAGATAAAATTTCTTGCCCATCTGCCTCACAGGGTTAAAGGAGTAAAATCAGACAGTGGCTGTGAAGATACTTTGTAAACTGTCAATTACTGTGACATTATTAACTATTATTATTAATGAGCGACCTTAGGCTGGGAAAAACCATGGTCCCAGCGAGGCCGCCATCTTGGCGAGCAATGGTAGAGTTACAGCCTCGCCCCAGAAACACAAAACTCACAGGAATACAGTGCTTTACAGTTTTAAGAGTGCTTTCATATCCGATATCTTAACCCCCTCAAAAACCCCATGGGGCAGGTGTTGCCGTTAGGAAAATCCAAGGACATAGGCACACATTTGGGAGTGTGCACACTATGGAATGCTGACCCTGTCCCAAAGCACAGCTCCCTTAACCTGTGGCAGAAAGTAGCAAAGTAGGAGTGCTGGTCTGGGATCTACTAGCTTGCTTACCTTTAACTTCTTCTCTGCCCGGGCTGCCTGTTTGCAGATGGGGTGCCAAACCTCAGAACCTAAGGGGTCAGGAAAGTAACGAAGAGTCAGACCTTTCAAACCCTCCAGCACTCTCCCCATGCCCCACCTTGATTTACTCCATGGTCAGCATATGTCCCTTACACGTCTGCCAGAAGGGCCTCCTTGGCTTTCCCAGCTTCCTCCTGGCACCTCTCAGACCTATGCGACAACTCACATCTTTTTCTGTGTGTCCAAATCCTACCCATTCCTCAAGGTCTAGGGCTCACATGACATCCTCTTGCAAACTTTCTTACCTGCCAGTTGGGAGTGACTTCTCTCTCCTCTGTGATCCATAGTTCTTTGTCTCTCTTTCCACACATACAGCCTTACGGCACAGTAGCTTGTGGATTTTTCATTCCTTACTAAATCAAGAGCTTCTTCTGGGTAGGAACTGAGCTTTATTCATTGCTACATCTCCCACAGTCCCCAGCATGGGACTTTGCTCTTAGAAGAGACCCGTACATGTTTGTGGGGTGAAGAGATGAGTATATGATTGGCAGTGAGTGACGCATAGCAGGTGGTCAATAAATATTTCTCGAATGAATAAATGACAGTGTGGATAAAAAAGAGTGACAGAGCATGGTGAACTCCAGCTTTCTTTTCTCTTAAAGACTTATGACGGTCTGCCAGAGCTATCACATTTAAGGGGGAGGAGGTGTCATGGTATATATTCTGCTTGTGAGCATTGCTTTGACCTGCTAATTCCTCAGAGGGTCCAGACTCTTCAAATTTAGTACACTGCTAATGCCCACATTTCATTGTGGGTGGGGGTCCAGTTGGCCAGCCCCAAACCCGAAAGGCCAATTTGGAAAGGCATGAACAACAGGTGGCTGCCCACATGTTGAAAAGCAGCCCCAAATATGACACATTCCCCAGAGAAGGGACAGGTGTCTTGGATTAGAAGGAAAAATAGGAACATATTATCCCTCTGGAGCCATCCCCCTTATAACCAGCCCTAAAAGGAAAGGAGCCAGCAATGGCTGGATTCCTGAGCACCCAGATGGCATTTGTTTGTCTGACTTTGTTTCTAGGATATACTTTATATTATGCTTTGTTGCCTGGAACCCCCAGGACTGGAATACTAGCTAAGGGATGAGATGGTGGTGAAAGGTCAATAATTCGGAGTGAAAAAGAGAAGAGAGGCCTGAAGTGAGGAGGCCTGTGTTTTTTGTCTCTGCTCAGCCCCTAACACATCCTCTCTCTGGGTCCCAGTTTCCTCATCTGAAGAACAATAAGGTGGGATTTGGATGGCCTTGAAGATTATTTTCATCTCCAAGATTCTAATTTTATGGGCAGTTTTGTCTTTTGCGGAACAGGAATCTTTGATTTTTGTCTGCCGACATTCTTGGGTGTTCCTAATTATTCAACTGAGTTTAATTCTTTCTAAAGTAAAATGCAGTGGTTCTCAGAGCCCAGTAGAGGGACTCTGAGTCTGTGGCTTGATCCAGCAATCACAGGGTGTGTCCACTACCAAGCTGTGTGCCGGGATTCTTACTTTAGGGAGTTATTAGAGAGAGCATTTCCGGTTCCTCTTTGAGTTGCTTCTGAATCTATCAGGAATTGTTTATGACTGTGGCTGTGGCAGGAAACACATGTTACAGGTCCCTGTAGGAAATGAATGAGATGGACACAGAGGTCTGAGGAGGTCATGAACTTAAGTTAAAGAGGCATAGGAAAGATCAAGAGGGCAGAAGTCCTCATGCGGGGAAATAATGTGTCAAGTGAGGGGGTCAGACTAGAGGGTTTCTTTTGCTTTCTAACCCCATGACATTGGCATATCACTCTGAAATAAAACTGAGCCAAAAATGGTCATTAGCTTCAGTACTCTGCATACTGGAAAGCATATTTACATAAGAAACAAGGAGAGGAGGATCAAACAAGAAAAAAAATAGAAATGAAAAACATCAGAATTTGGGAGTTGGTAGTATATCTGTAAATAAAAGAGGCTAAAAAAAGTTAGTTGGTAGCTAGCAATAAACTTAGATAAAGAATGCAAGAAAAGATGATTTGTTCATGAAGATCCCTGTGAAATTACAGTCTTCTGAGCTTATTCCCTTGGCCAATAGCTCAACAATGTGGCATTAACAGAAGGACAACGTTATGGTGAAGAAGATGGTTTTTCTCTTCCATGGACTTTATCCCCAGAGCCAAAAACAGTGCCTGGCCCATGTGTGTTTAATAAAGAAATGCATGTGAATGACTCATTGGACCCTACCTTTGTATTTTTTTCCCCAAAAAGATACTAGATAAAATGCACCCACGGGAGAATGGTGGCCATCCTAGGAAGGGGGCTCAAATGCAGTTCTAAGGCTGGGTCTTTACCCTGAAGAACAGACTTAACAGAATGGTGAAAACTAGTTTTGAAGATTTTAATGACTCTCTGTAGGAAGAGGCATTAATTTGTTTTGCAAGTCTTATAAAGTAGAACTAGGACTAAGGGCAGGGGGTTCAGGGAAGAAACATTTAACACCTAAGAACTGAATGGCCTTATTGAACTGACAGTGAGCCCTTGTCTCTAAAAGTGTTTAAGTACACATTGGGTATATAAATGCTCAGCAGGGATATTAGGAAGGAGACTCAGCACATGGTACTTATGCTAAGGGATATTTACCAGCCCCCCAAATCCTTAGAGATTCTGTTTCCATCTTAACAGGTTTTACTGTACAGACAAGATAATTATTTGCCCCTATCCATTTATCCCGACAAGAATGTAAATTCTATGAGAAGAGGGATTCATGTCTATCTTACCTACAGATATATCTGCAGGGACTGCAGATTCTCAATAAATACTCATTGAGTGAACAAATAAAAGAAATACGGCATTCTATCTTAGGCAGTTGGCTTCTCTAAGTTGGGCTCAGAGATTTGGACAAGTAGTACAATCTAGACTCTGATTAGACAGCTACAGCTCCAGACTGAGTCTGCAAGCATATTCACTATATTGGGGCGTGTCAAACTGTGACCTGTGGACCACTTGTCTTGCAGCCTGGTAAAATTCAGATTCCTGGGCCCCCCGGCTGAAGCCACTGACACCAACTTCCTGGAGGTGGGACCTGGGAATCTGTGATTTAACATGCTCCCCAGGTGATTTTATGACTCATAATTTGAGAACCACAGGGCTAAATACCAGAAAACACTCTAAACTTATTTTCTTGGAATGTTATGTGATAAAGAAACCAATTTTACAAGACAGAGCTCTAGCTTTTTGTAAGAGTACATTTTCTGCTTGTTCAACTCCTGGTTCCATGAGTCACATTCTCTTGTCCTCTGAGATTGTCACCCACAATTCCAGGCTCTGCAGTTAAAACCTACTATGAGGTTATGGAAGTGAAGGATTAGCTATTTCTGTATCAGCTGACTCAGAGACAGAGATGTGAATCTCCAAAACTATCTGTCAGCCAGGTATTAAGGCCATTTTTAATCCTTAGCAGAGTCAGTAGTCAGTCTTATCTCTTTGACTGGTTATAGCACACACCACACCTGTAACATTTGGGGCTGATTTAATGTTGGGGAAGCCACCCACCTCTCTGTTGTATCCTGATGTTAGATTTGCCAAGCCTTTTTTTTTTTTTTTTTTTTGAGATGGAGTTTCACTCTTGTTGCCCAGGCTGGAGTGCAATGGCGTGATCTTGGCTCACCGCAACCTGCGCCTCCTGGGTTCAAGCAATTCTCTTGCCTCAGCCTCCCGAGTAGCTGGGATTACAGGCATGCACTACCATACCTGGCTAATTTTGTACTTTTAGTAGAGACAGGGTTTCTCCATGTTGGCCAGGCTGGTCTCCAACTCCAGACCTCAGGTGATCTGCCCGCTACAGCCTCCCAAAGTGCTGGGATTACAGGCATGAGCCACCATGCCCAGCCAATGCTTTTTGTTTTTTAATGCCAAAGCTGGAGCTGGTATCATAGTCTTCTAGAATGTTGGCATTCTAGAACTTACAAGCACAGTGATTGAAAGAACCTCCATTGGGAGGTTCTGAGTCTGAAGATTTTTAGATATTGCAGGTCACCAGTGACCCTCCCTACTTTCTGACTCCCAGCCCTTCCCACTCCTTGATGTGGGCATTTGAGTTTTTGGCCTTGACCCTAGCTAGGGTATTCTCTTACAGCAGGTTTCCTCTCTGGATTTTTTTTTTTTTTTTTTTTTTTGAGATGGAGTCTTGCTCTGTCGCCCAGGCTGGAGTACAGTGGTGCGATCTCAGCTCACTGCAACCTCCGCCTCCTAGGTTCAAGTGATTCTCCTGCCTCAGCCTCCTGGGTAGCTGGGACTACAGGTGCGTGCCACCACACCCGGCTAATTTTTTGTATTTTTAGTAGAGATGGGGTTTCACCGTGTTAGCCAGGATGGTCTCGGTATCCTGACCTCATGATCTGGCCCCCTCAGCCTCCCAAAGTGCTGGGATTACAGGTGTGAGCCACCATGCCCGGCCTCTGGATTTTTTTTCACCATAGCAGGATGAGGTTTCTCAGACTTCTGCCTTTATGACAGCAGCACTATCTTTGTGGCAATAGACTGGGAGGAACCTTGGAATTGCTCCTTTAAAATCTCCATGCACATAAACCGACCCAAATGCCCATCAATCAATGAGTAGATAAAGAAACTGTGAGATAGATATATATATATGTGATATATATATATATATATATATATATGATGGAATACTACTCAGCCATAAAAGGAACAAAATAATGGCATTCACAGCAACCTGGATGAAATTGGAGGCCATTATTCTAAGTGAAGTAACTCAGGAATGGAAAACCAAATATTGTATGTTCTCATTCACAAGTGAGAGCTAAGCTATGAGGATGCAAAGGCATAAGAATGACACAATGGACTTTGGGGACTCAGGGGTAAGGTTGGGAAAGAGGTGAGGGATAAAAGACTACAAATGGGGTGCATTGTGTCCTACTTAGGTGATGGGTGCACTAAAATCTCACAAAACATCACTAAAGAGCTTCCAAACACCACCTATTCCCTGATTACCTATGGAAATAAAAAATT